TTAGGACATTAAAAAGCGAGATAAGCCTTTAATATTCCCCACCTCAAATGGCTTAAGACGGCAAATATTTCTTACCTTGTTTATTTTGGGCGTAAGCAAATTTTGCACAACTGCCTCCATGCTTGTTTGACTGACGTTACAATATGACACACACAGCAGGCTTCTAATTAGGCCCCATGAAAAACAACAGGTGGATGTGAGAAAAGTAATAAATCACTCAGCCAATATGGCTGCCAACAGGCCCGTTGCCTTCACTGTTTTTTTTGTTTTTTTTATGTGTCTGCAAAGAGAATCGTTGGCGGACATGCACTCTGAACAGATGCACAAGATGTTATGTGTATCCCACGCATATTTGTGCAGAGCATCATTTTCTGTCTGGAACTTTTTAATAAAATTCTCATAGACGCTGCTCATGTCTATACTGCACCTTTGGCACGAGGCTTGGCTCATGTTATATGCTATGGGATATATCATCATGGGTAGATAATGAGAATTATGCCTTCTGTAAGCCTTTCCATACAACATGAAAGCATTCAGACAAAAACATAAGAAAACACGAGTGTGCTGATAATATTTAAAACTGGGATGTTAAAGTCTTTTTATAATGCAGGCCACATACAACGCACTTTGATTTTATCCGGACCAGTGAAATTCCAATTTCTGTCAGTGTAACAAGGTTTAGCTACACATTTAATCAGTGAGATGCCTTAATATAAGAAAAAGAAGAGCAATTTCAACAGTATGTTGAGTATTTTCTACATGACAAGAAAATGCAAATGCAAAATCCAAAGCCATCCAATGGGGCGTATTAGAGTCTTTGGCTGGCCAATTCTGGCCCCAAGGCTTTATGTTTGACAATCCTGAGTTAAATTGTGAAAAAGAACATTTATCTTTTAGAAATATTAGGAGCTTGAAATTTGTGAAATGCTTCAATGCTTATCCAAGAGGCTTCTTCAGATCCAAAACAAAAGATCCCAGGCATTTAACCCCCAGTAGGGGTTGGAGAGTCCAAGGTGTCCCCACTTTTTGTTTTAGAACTGAAGAAGCCGCCTGGATGAGGGTTGAAGCATCTTCACAAACGTAAAGAAGTCCAGTTGTCTTCTTTTTTCAGGCTCCTAAGACCAACACAACCTGGATGCCTGAGAACCTACACAGACATCAAGAAATGGCTGCGTTGTGGTACAGTGGTTAGCACTTTGGTTTCTCAAGTCCAAAGATATCAGTTAAATGGTGATTTAAAACTACCTATAGGTGTAAATGTGAGCACATCAGACTGTCTGTCTCAACTACGTTAGCCAGTATTACTAAATCATGCTCGCTTAATTTTGAGAAGCCAAAAATCACGATTGAGATTAAAATTGGTGTACCCTTCCTCCAACGTCACGGCCTACAACAGTAGTAATGGGGTCCCATAAACTAAGTCATGTAAATGCAAATGTTCAAATTGAAATCATCAAACAAGGCATTTGTGAAAATGTGATAATGTTCCAGTTGGGAATCTAGCAGCTAAACAGTTGACAGCATTATACTTATGCGCCTGATAGCCGTTACAGCACAGTACTGTAGTTTGACAGAGTTCTTACAGTTCATCTGGCTCTTTCTAAAGCTAACAAAAGCTTCTTTTACGGTATTTTATGGTTTTTGTGGTGACTTTTTTGTGTGCTCTTGGTGGGACTTCAGCACCAAGCAAACAAGCAAAAAAAAACCCCACATATACTTTGTCGCTTGGTATTTTACGACCAGGCCAACTCTTTATCATCCACTCAAAAGTGCTCAGTTTTTAACTTTCTACAGCTGTGTAACTCCAAAGGTGTGATTTTCTTACCAACGAGTTAACGAAACATTGGATTTGCAACACTGTGTGTCTCCAATTAACACAACAGCTGTTACATAAACCTAAAGTCAAATTAAGCTTTAAGCATTTTGTTGTTTAGTCGCTTCTGAAAGAGACCCAGGCAGGTAAAGTGTACACGTGGGCTGAAGGCAGGTTAAAAACACCCGCGAGGGTCTCTAAAAGGGACTAGTTTGAGGGTTGTAAAACTCAGGTACACAAGCAACACAAGAATCAGAAAGAGGAGCGAAAACAGTTTCGTTTAAAGGGACACGAGACGGGAAGGCGGGAGATGCGATGGTGAGCCGCGTAGACGGAAAAGTCGGAGCTGAAGCCCGACACGGAGGGAGCTCGGTGGGAGGTTGTGGAGAGGCTGGGGGCAGGCTCCAGGCAGAGGAGAGGGCAGGGAAGGATTCACGGCCCAGGATCAACAACAGCACACTCAATAACCCCCCCCACACACACACACCCTACACCCATGGGCACCAGGGAGAAAATATGCCTTCAACAAATGCAAGAACTCATTTACAAATTTTTACAAACCTTTAAGGAACAAAAAAAAAAGGTGATTCAATGCTGTTCAATATCAACCCTGTAACAACCAAACAGCGGGCTGGGGATAAACCTGAAACAGAGGGCACATGCACCAGACGTTGTTTGATTTTTGCTGTTGTTGTTTTTTTGTTTTTTTTTTGGGGGGGGGGGGGGGTGTTTTTAAGAAAACTGCTTTTTCACATTTTCGGATGTTAGATTTTTTGAAGACAATGCAAACAATTAACCAGAGGAAAGTATGAAAAATGCCCCCTATCTTATATAAATAACACAGCCTCGTTCTTCTCCTGCTGAGAAGACCAGAGTATTAAAATGATACGCAGTTAAAAAGAGGTTGCACTTGCCTCATCCAGGGACTGTATATTTGCTTCAGACAACATAATAGTGAAATTAATGAAAAAAGTAGTTTGCCTCATTTTCTTAATTACTCCAAATCTACCATGGTTTTAAAGTTAAAAGACTTCGTAAACATCATAAGAACACTTAGATTTGCAGATCGCCAACATTTAGTGCAAAAAACGTGGTTTCAAAAGACAAAAGATGCAATTAATATTCTAGTTTGTAATGACCTTGTATCATAATGCATTCATTAAAATAATTTTCCATTGTTTTTATAGTAGCTGCTCCGTGGTTGCTTGTATGATTTCCAAAAAACAAGACCGCATGACCTCAGCACAGTCTAATTGTGGTCTAATATTGATTTTTTAATTTCTAAGAGATTCATGAATATGGATTGGTGAAAGAAAAGGCAAAAACATTGATAGCGTCTTAAGATACGCTGCTCGGTGATTTCTAGCTCCCTTCCTTTCCTTAAAATGAGAGGATGGAAGGCTGGGAATGCGGTGAGGCTCTGCTGCAGCCGAAAAGCTCCGGTGAGGACTGAGGGCTTCGTGTAGTGGTTACCGGCTCACTGAAGCCTCTGACCCAGCGACCACCAACCTCTCAAAAGTAACTCAAGCCAAAAGTGAACATAAGAGGCTCTTTCTTCCAGCCCTGTTAGAGCCCGCATCCATAAAAAGCTCTGCTGGTTCCCTCGGTCTAAAGATGGCTGATTCTTCCAAACATCTCTGGCCAAAACTATTAAAACTATTAAAACTCTTCAGAGAAAGCCACACAAGCAGCCCCTGTCCTAATACTAATGAGGTCTTATACTACGAGAAAGAATTCGCTTTAAGAGCTTTTTGGTTTGTTTGCACCTTGAAAAGCATTCATTTAGCTTCTGTTATTCCGGAGTTCCTTAAATTCAAACAGGAGCGTAAGACAAAGAGGATTTAGGAGAAAACTTTGTCGTCTTTCTCAGAGAATGAAAATTTCAGAAGGGCTGTTGCTCTCCGATCCCTGCACGTCCATTAGTGGCCCCGTACCCCACCACGACGGGAGAGAAAAACCTGTGTCAAAAAGTCTGTTTTGTAACGGAGCCTCATCAGCATATTTGAATAATACATAGTGCTTATAAGCATATTAAATGGAATGCGGCCACGCGTCATTTGAAGGCAGAGATTAGACCTTCCCAGTTAATTATAAAGATGTCAAATGTCAGCGGGTGAACCCACGCCCTGAGGTCGCCCCCTTTAGTTTGGTGATTATATGCACAAACTATAGATAAAGTGTCATCATACAGGCTATTAAGGTGCTGAGGCTTAAAGAGAGGCTTCCCCTCGCCTTTATTACTATGCAGAATCTGTCGGGGAGAAAAACGAGACCACGCACTCTTAATGGTTTCTCAAACACTTACTACTCTCGCCTTATATTTCTCTCACATACTTTGAAACAAAGATTAATAGGGAAGCTCAACTGATGTTAACTTGCCAAATTAGCTGGCTTAGACCTTTAAGTTTCCAAAATGGGTTGCAATAGCGCACCCTTGGCCGAGATGGAGTGTGCGCATAAGTGTGCGAGAGCTTGTTTGGGTCATTACTGCACCATTAAGACCCAATCAGCTCACCAGGGCAGCCTTGTGGAAAGCAATACGGGGCCCGAGACAGCACCTTGGGTTCACCTTGACAGGACCGCCAGTCAAACGAGGCAGCCCTCTCTGTGTTCCTGTCAATCTGATTCCCCCTCTGAAGTTCATTTAAAGGGAGGAGCAGCGGCTCACTAGCTCCTAACAGGTAAGAAGGGCCCATATTATCAGCCCTCAGAGAGAGCAGGGCAGAAGTCTGATGTGCTCTTTCAACTGTACTAAACTGTCTGTACAGTAGCTCAGCTCACTGACTGACTAGACACACACACTCACACACACAAACACACACACACACGGCAGCAACTCTGTGGGCTGATTGGAAAACAGAGAGAAAGAGAAAGAGCAGAAAGTGAAGGAGAATAATCTGAAAGATGAGAGGTGCTGATTTGGAAGGAAATGGAGATGTAAAGAAAGAAAAAGATTAAGGGTACAGGAATAAGGATGAGATTAAATCTAGGAGGAGAGTCAGGCTGGTGTAAGACAGAAAGGAGAGAGAGGGGTGAGCAGGAGGGGGGAGTCGGGTGCGAAAACAAGAGAGAGAATGGTATATTTTCAATGGAAGATATATTGCAATCCACTTTTCTGATTTTAGGAGTACACTGGGGGGAGAGGGGGGAGGGGTATAGGTGTTTGTTTTGGTTTGGGGGAGCTGACACAACATCCACTATTTCCACCGTCAGGCATTCCCCATCACACAAAAACACACACACACACACACACACACACCCAACGTGAGGCCCCAGCCCAGCCCTTCCAGCTTCCTCAATATTTCATGGGATGAGCCCATGCTGACTAACTCAAGGCCATGCAAGCAAGGCTCCCTAACCAACCAAAGCACTCACAATCTGCTGAGGTTCCCGGTTGCCAATATCCACGATCGTGGAAACAATAACATTTAGCTCCAGTTCCCAGGAATCGGTTGAAGGAGACAAAGAAGAACACGGGGCATCTGTGATGACTGCCATAAATGTAAATGTTATCATTTTTGAGCGTGTCTTCAAAAGGAAAGAAGTGAAGGAAAATGTGTTAACCGGTATCACGATGCATTTTTGAGTTGGTATACAATAAGTAGCCACATGTTTAAAAGCATCCTAAGACTCTTCAAGGGGTAAAAGTTCCCGAATTCAAACTTGTTTTTGAATGATTGCTTTAAGTTACCTCATACAGGATTCTTCAACTTTTGGGGGGAGTTTTGTTGCCTCCTTTCTGACCTCTTGGTGCTCTTCTATAATCCCAGCAGACAGATTTCTGTCCAGAAACAGAGTGCAAGTAGATTATTTGACACATTCAAACAAAAGGCTCTTACATTTTTCACATTCTGTGTGAGCTGCCGGATACAGGACGGCAGTACCATTGGAGCAACTGGAGACTGTCCTAACTGGGACTCAACAAATGGCAGATATTTCGTTCTCGCTTAAAGGATATACCAGACGATAGTCTGTTTTATGTTACTGTCAAGGAAATGTTACTTTCAGCCACTGGCAAGGGTTAAAGTGGGACTTGGCAGGTGGAGCGTGGGGTGAAGAAATACTTAGAAGTAAGACGCAAAATAATTTGTTTTTTGAGTTCCAGTATATTTTTCTACCAGCTGTGATTGGCTGGTCTGTGCTCCTACTCTCACATTGAATTCAGCAAGATATAAGCAACGTTACATCAGCCCCATGGCCGGACACTATAAAGTTGGTATAAGAAGTGGAATTCAGTGAGTGACTCGAACAGTATAAACTGATGTCAGCAACATTTGATACAACCTAACATGAAGTCCAGAGCAAGTTCTGTACAATTACTGTAAACCTCACCACAATACAGCAAACAGGTTGTGTGCTAGCCTATTACCAAAATGCATCGCTGAACAAAACAGGAAATCATTCCTGCTTGTGGTAATTCCTCCATCAAATGCACAATATGCACTGTAATAGCTGCACACCCATAATATTTGCACATCCTTGCACTTCAATTTCAACCATTAGTGTTATATACTGGGATACTTATAATTGAGCTATTTGTATATATTAGTGCTATTTTGTTATATTTTGTAACATGTTTAATTTAGTTTAGTGAGTTACTTTTTTATTGTCTTGGAGCAATTGTGACCACATCATTTTCTCAAGGATTCTGATTCTGATCAAACTAATTTCAGCTGCCAAAGCAAACAAACTTTAAGCGTTTTAAAAAAGGATTCAACACCTTTACAATTGTTATGAATGCTTATTTATTGAGACCAAACCCATTTTTCTACTAGCTGTAAATATTCTCAGTCCTGCTGTAAAGTGAGCATTTTAGCATGGGAGTCTATGGAGAGTAACTCACTTGTGTAGCAAGTGGCAATTTGAGGAACTACGGTTTTCGACACTTGACATTGACGTCATTTTGCAGTGCTAACCACACTTGTGAAATCCTGGAAAAATTAATCCATATGGTATGGTGGAAAGAGCTACGATATCAGGCTTCACAGAGATCACGTTACTAGGATCAAATGATCTTTTTGTGGGATTCCTGGACAATAAGAAACATGTTCTTTAACAGTTATTTGAAGAATGCCTAAAAAGGTTTTTTAGACTACGCATAACACGTATAGATTTACTGATGACTGCTGAACCTCAGCTGGATGTCCAGTATGTGAAGGTGTCAGTTAATCCCCACAGTGAGATACCAAAAGACTTGAAATAAAGATCTCTGAGGGTGTTTGTAGATTTCTTTTTAAACAAACAAACAAACAAGAGTGAATCTGTATATAGTTTTTGCCGTGATAGTTGTTTTTGAGTCTGTTCAGAATGAATATCGAACCATCAAACGCTCCAATTTTCGCCACTCTGCCTTGTTTTGTCTGGATTTTCTTCAAGCCGAGTGTCATCGGAGAGTAAACTATGTGTACGCTTTCACTCCTTTGTATTTTTTCCCTCCGCCTCCCTTTTCTCTCTCGCCGGATGTGTGCGAGAGAGCCAATGTGCGCCTCTGTGTGTGTGTTAGCAAACGAACGTGTGCAGGCTTTGTTTTTCTTTTGAACATCCCTTTGATGTTGCTGTTTATTTATTTATTTCTCTGCCTGCAAAGGCCTTTTCTCGGCGGTTAGGGCTACAGCGGATTGGGCGCGCGTTGCTCTGAGTGCCATCCATCAGCGAGGAGCGTCTCTGACGGATGAACCAGTGACCTCAGCTCCCTATAGCACATCAGCTTGGAGCCGAAGCTACGCCGGGAGATTTTTGTTTTTAAGGAGACGCAGTGTAACCAGGAGGGCCTCTGCTTCATCACCACCCTGTCTCTATCGGTGTGCGTCACATGTAAAACAACTATTTCATCTCTGGCCATGAAACGTTGTATTACTTTGGTTTCTCAGTGATAATGGACCACCCTTCTGTACCCTTTACAGCTGATTTGATACCTTCTGTCCTCTCTGTTCACAAAGAATGAGAAACACCAAACTTTACAACTTAAATTATCACTGGAAAAACTCAAGCAGTCATGTTTCAAAAAGATTGAATTCTTTGATCAATAAGTCAAAGGAAGAAGTCTGTGTACATAAAAATGCAAAGGCAGAAGCATGTCTAACAGGATTTTTTTTGTAAGAAACATCCAGTCCAATCAAAACTACATACACTGTTAACATAAGATTTAGAACCTGTAAAAAACAATTAATGTCCAGGTTTTAGACTCATTGTACGTGAATTTGGCAGTTATGTGGGTTTTGCTCGTAAGCATTACAATGAAATATCTCGATCTCGATCTCTAGCTCCATCTGCATTTCAAATTCACCCACAAGCTGTACTGATGACCATTTCACAATCCACATTAGCGACAACAGACCTTTCTTTGCCAATTATCATTATTCCACTGATAATTGCTCACTCTGAAATTTGCTGAATCTGTCCATGGTGCTGAACCAGCCTGACCAGTACTTAACACATGGTCTCTAATCAAAGCCAGTTGTATGATTTTGTGTGCATTGTGACAAAAACTAGCTGCATGTCCCTATGTAACTGAACTTTACAAGACCACTTTGTAAACGTTTTATTTTAGGCTAACGGCTAAACTCCATAATAACCTGACTAGACAACCTTGTATGTGCATCACATGTATACAAAAACTATGCAAAGACTACAAGTTCATAGATTTCATAAAAACAAAAACAAAAAAACTGTGCATTACGGATATACACTGACCTTTTCCTCTTTCTACGTTGATTTCTTGCTCTTTGAAACAAATTCTTCAGACCATGGCCTGCAGGTTCATGTTCAGCTTGTCTTTGTCCATATCTCTGGTATTCTTGGATGGTGTCTCCTCTGGTGAGTAGCCCTCACCCTTCAGCCTGTATGTCATAACCTGTGGAGTTATATTTCTGACAGACACCTACCCAGACATCCCGACAGCTAAAATAAAACTGAGCTCCCCTTTTCTCTCTGCTTACTCAGTCAACTAGCATGAATCTATTGTTATTGCAGGACACTAATATTCCTGACCTCTATAGTGCCTTTCAGTTTATCAAATCGCTTCCTTTATATTTATTACTTATTACTAACTCATTTATTTACCTTTATAACATCATTTTGTATATATAAAAAGATAAACCTGAAGACCCTGATTATTTCAACACCACTATGACACGATTTTAAATAAGCAAAAGATAATAGGAATGTATTGCTAATTATTACCAATTCTATCGTTGTTCCATTATATTTAGCTAAGTATTGCTAACTAACTATTTCACGTTAAGCTAGGCTACTTTTGCTATATAATCTGCAGCTATCGTTGCTATTGTTTGTTATGTATATCTACTAATTTGTTAAGCCGTCTTACACCTAGGTAATAATTTCAACTGTCTATCGATGTTTTATGGAAGTTAAAAACAGTATTGACCACCAATTATATCGGCTAACAATTGCAAATGTTAGTTATATATATGTTTAGCAAGCTAATCCGAGCATTTATTCACTTTTTAAAACATTTTAATTACCTATGCGCTGCTGTTTTCAGTTTTTCTTTTTACTCACTTTTAGTTAATAACCCCTGAAATTTAGGCCTAGATCTATACTCAATAGTAAAATACACTCACTGGCCACTTTGTGAAGTGATCTTGCTAGCACTGACTTGACCTCCTCTTGCCTTCAGAACTGCTTTAATTCTTTGTGGCATAGATTCATCCTCAGAGATTTTGGTCCATTTTCACATGATCCCATCACACAGCTGCTCCAGATTTATCATCTATGATGTGAATCCCTTTTCCATCCCTAAGGTCATCTTTTGGGTTGAGCTCATGTGACTGTGGAGGCTATAGTACGGAGCCCCCCCAGGGGACATGGGAGAAAAAAAAATTAGGGAGGGGAGAAAAAAAAAATTAGGGAGGAAAAAAAAAAAAATTAGGGAGGAAAAAAAAAATTAAGACGGACTTTTGCGAGATCTCGCAAAAGTATTGCGAGATCTCGCAATAAGTATTGCGAAAGTTTTAGCCGCATTCTTCGGAGGCCGCCAGCTCGAAGCCGACCGGGAGGTCGAGGCACGATGTGCCGGGAAAGCGGTGTTCCTCCCGGCTGTAGTAGGTCTCGACTTCCCGTTAGCTTCGAGCTAGTGGCCGCCAGCTCGAAGCCGACCGGGAGGTCGAGGCACGATGTGCCGGGAAAGCGGTGTTCCTCCCGGCTGTAGTAGGTCTCGACCTCCCGTTAGCTTCGAGCTAGTGGGTGTCAGATCTCCAAAAACCTCGGAGCTCTTTTGCAAATATGTGATGTCTTGTAAACCGAGCAGGTATCTGACGTTTACACAACTACATTCACGCCTCAAAATATCTTAAAAGTGTATTTTGTGACCCAGAAAGAGTAATATTACAACTAAGTAGCTGCCGCCATTGTTGGAGTTTTGCGAGATCTCGCAATACTTTTGCGAGCGCTCGCAATACTTATTGCGAGATCTCGCAATACTTTTGCGAGCGCTCGCAATACTTTTGCGAGATCTCGCAAAAGTCCGTCTTAATTTTTTTTTTCCTCCCTAATTTTTTTTTTTTCTTCCCCATTTTTTTTTTTTCCATTTCCCCTGGGGGGCTCCGTAGCTCCGTACTATAGAGTGAGCTCATGCTCAAGAAGTCAGTTGACATTATCTGAATTTTGTGGCATGGTGTGTGACCCTCCCACCAGCAGTATAGGTGGATCCGCTGTGGTCATACCTTTAAGGGACAATATCAGGTAGTCTGTGGTGTTTAAATGATGCTCAGCTGGCACAAAGGGGCCCAAAGTGCACCATGAAAACATCCCCCACCACTGAAACAGGCAGGATGGATTCATGCTTTCATGTTGTTTATGCTAGATTCTCACCCTATCATCTTAATGTTGCAGATGACGCATTTTTTATCTTCTATTGTCTAGCTTTGGTGAGCCTGTGCAAGCTGTGGCCTCACTTTCCTGTTCTTCCATTGTGGTCTTCTGCTCCTATATCCCATTTGTTTCATGGTTGTATGTTCAGGAGTGCTCTTCTGCATATCTTTATTTGAAAAGCCCAGTAGATCACCAGGCAAATGACTGTATACACTGCATACCAGCCTACTTATCGTTAGATGCGAAAGCACACATTCCTGCTTGAGGGAGGTCGTATAAGCAGCTGCCACCATTTTGATGCCTTCTAAGCTTCAGTTTTCTGAATTTCAGTGGCTCCTAGAAGAAGATAGACCAAGGATGTTGTATGTTTCATCAGTACCGCTGCCTTCATCTTCAGTCAAAAATAAGTTCACAGAAGTTTTGATAAATGCAACAGGTACAGTCAACACTTTTTTGATACCTACATAGGCTTCTTTGGTGCTCTCAGGGGGAACACACCAACAGTATCCTTTAACACCAGTCAGTCATGTATGACCTTAACCTGGATAGCGATGAAGTGATCATTGGCATGCTCTTGGAATTGCACCTTGCACATAATCCCTTTTGTACCTTCAAAGACAGAGCAGTTAATCTGGCTAAACTTTCACCTATTTACACTGTCGCATATCTACTCATGCTTTTTGCCCTGTTGGACTTTTAGTGATTTTGTTGTGTTTCCAGATCTGATCAAATATGTAGGTGAGGTCACTCATGTTAGTTATGAATGAGCAAAATGGCAAAAAGTAAGATTCAAGTAATAAGGACACAATTTTGCAGACCATCCAACGATCCTCAGATTTTTAGGTCACAAAAGGAGGGTCGTGTCCTAATAACGTCTTTCAGCTGTAGCCTTAGCGAGATCCAAACAAGCCAGAGTGCTTCACAATGGTGCCTGGGCTCAGTCTAACGAACCCTTCAGTGATAGTAACAAGGCTCCACACACAACTGCATTTTAACAGAAAACATCTATTATGTTATCTGCAAATAAAAGTATGCAGACCTTTGCGACATCGCCTTAACATGCCTAAATGACAACAAGCCGCACTGTTAAAGGTTTTACCTTGTTAGTTGCTGCTGACAGCATAGGGCATCGTGTATCTGTAAGAGAGATCGGTGGTAGATCCAGACTCTGCACCAATAGGAACACAAGGTCCCCAAATCCTTTATAGGCTTCAGAATTCAAAAGGAAGATCTTGGTTGCGCCATCTTCTACTTTTACTTACTTTCCAATCCCATTGTCCCCGTTTTAGTAGAATATGAACCACTCGAGAACGCATTCTCTCTTTGAATGAGTGCAACAATTCTGAGGGTTCATTCAAAGGCACTACACGAGCGCATCTATAAGATTGTTCCTTTTCTAAATGGTCCGTCCTTCAACCAGTGCCATCGACTCAAATACAAGTAGACTACATTAGATTTCAATGGCTGTGAGCAGTGGCTGGGTTGAATAAGAGGCTTGCCTTATTCAAACCATGAGGAGTGTTTTTGTGTGTGTGTGTGTGTGGGGGGGTCTTTGGGCTGTACATTTAAAAAATACTGAAGTGTTTTTGCACTGACCACTAATGCCGCCGTTGCATCCACAGGGATGAATAACCTCATGACCCATGAGTCCCCATATGCTCTCTAAGCCCTTCACAAAACCTCCAAAGAGAACTAATGTTAAAGATTTATGACCTATAGATTATGCAGATATTTTGTTTAAATGTTTTTTTATTATTTATGTGGGCTTGGATCCGTTTCCAGCCTGACATTTAAAGCAGCACGAGCACATTAGAATTCAACAGGCAGGAAGAAACAGTTTGTATTTGGTTTGTTCGACCATCAAAGTCTAACGAAAAATCCTTTCTTAGAGAGACATCACAGAACGTGTTTGACTTGGCTTGAAAATCCTTTGTTCTTAAATCAGCTCACAATATCTAAGAAACAAAAGATAAATTCACGTCGTTTAAACGTCTGGCCGAACATTTGATCGAACTTTAAATCTATCTTAAAAGGCAGCTATGACATGTGCACATAAAAAAACAAAAAAAACAAGAGCCTCTACCGCTGACAGCACGTGAAATATTTTTTAAAGGAAAACTTAAACCATGTACAACTCTTAACATTTAACTCCGTTTTACATCAACCCTTTAATTGAGGCATACCATACAGTAGTTATCTTCTTATCTTGATGCAAGTCTGTGAAGGTGTTACTGAAGAAAACTGATTGCTGTCGGTCTTTCTGTACACCAAATTTTCAGTAGTAGAAGAAGAAGAAGAAAAGGTGTTTTGCAGTGTGCAGCTTCTTCTACCACGACTGGCCTCATTTGAGAGTGGTCAACTGCCTCCTAGACAGATGGAAGTGCTTACAGTCCACTTTTATCTATGCAAATGCACCAAAGCCGTGGGTGTTGAGGAAAGTAAATGCTCATTTGCGTTTGTTTTGCTGGCAATATAAGAGCCAGCTATGCCTTCCTGCTGTTTTGTACCAAATCAGTGAAATTACTTGGTCACCAAAGACAAAGCACAAAGTCCCGAGAAACAGAATCTACCTCACGAAGGTCTGTGGATGTTTTGTTTCTCCCTTACTCTGGAGGGGAGTGTGTGCATTCAGCATTTTTGATCCTGCAGTGTAATCGAGCGTCTCCTTGTTTGGAGAACCGCCGAGGGATTGAAGCACCATCCATCAGACCTCCCTCGCTCTCTGGACTGTCCGGCCATTTTACATGTGGCTGAGTCCGGGCCTGGAAGAAAAGTTTTCATTCTCGCGACGAGCTTGTGTTTGAGGTTGGTTTATGACTTTCTCATCACAGCCAGCGTGGTATGAAATCTACCTTCACTTAAAGGGAAATGTATTATATGTGCACCTTAAAAAACCTCAAACAAAAACAAATAAAACAGCAAGCAGTTTACGGAAGAACGTTTTGCACTGAAATTGCTCTAAAATCTGACCATCTCAAGCTGCACTGTCCCATGCATTGCTCTCAGCTGGATCAACCTTTGTGGTTCATTTTAACAAGCATGCCAACAGAATCATTAATATGTTTTGACCCCCTCCTACGCCTGGTCAAAGGAAGGCCTATAGGCCAAAAGTGCTGTTGGCCTGTTTAGCATAAAATGAGTGCATTAATACCGGGAGACTCAATTATTTTACAAATAGTTTGGTTGACACTGCAGGTTATGAGAATCTGCCAACTTTGAAGACCTTTAGCTAGAGGCAGTGCTGGCTTTGGCACTAATTATGGACAACACTATGGCATGGATGACTGCAAGTTACGTGTGCATTCAAAATGCTTTTTAAACTGTCTTTGGGGTAACATAACACACAGAAGGAGTGAATTATATGCAAATTTATTGATTTATGTACTTTGTGTTTTGATGGGTTTTTTGTTTTAAATTTTAGTTCCAAGAATCACAAAAAGAAGGAAATCAAACCTAAAACTGTAACACAGGTTGTTACATTTTAGGAGTGTATGACTGCATTTCTGTGTTTTTGAGGTAAGAGCTCACATGCCTCCAAAAACCCTTCATGACACGACGTTATGATTGCTATGATTTTTAGCTCAAACCCAGCTCTCCGTCTGCTCTTTGGTAGATCCAGACGATTTTCTTTACCCATAATCCCCCTGCTGACTCCTTCCCCTTTCTCTCACCTGATTAGAATTTCTGCCGTGGCCTCTGGGATTGGATGATTTCGACATATTTTATTTAACTGCTTTTGTAAGCCCTAATATTCAGCAGCTGTGATCTATGGCTGAATTACAATTTTCAGGGTCAAGGAGGGACTTGTGGTTGTGGAAAAGGGGTGGGTATGACCGGCTGCGCAGGTGGGTGTGTGCGTATGTACGATGGCGAGAAGGGGAAGGGGAAGTGGGGGGGAAAAGGAAAAAAACAGAGAGGAAAAAGGGAAGGAAGACTCTCACGAGTTGTCTTTAAAAATGAATGAGAAAATGGGTAATCCCCGAG